AGCTCATTACTTAGTGCTGTCACAGACACAATATATTTTCCCCAATCATGTTTTGATTTATTTGGTAAATTCAGATTCATGTTATACTTTATACAATCATATACATTCTATGAAGTTGCTCTTTGAGTACATTTAAAAAAGCATATTCATTAAGAATTATAACACTGTGAAAACTGCAAGTTTCTTTTTGTTTATTCTAAGAAAAAAGATGAAATTACCGACAGCATGAAAATTTAGATTTTTATTTTTAAAATTCAATTTTTATTAAATAATCAATTTCGGAGAATGACAATCAGGCTTCCAAAGAGTGTCACGAGTCCTAAGAAAAGCACACACTCAGAAAAAAGGAAAGCATTGTCTAGACATGCACTACGGCCCTGAAAGTAGTGCTATAACAATTTGAATTATTTTATCTAAATCAGACATCGATGCAATGCAATACGTTATATTAATAAATCTGATGTTACAAGTCGTTCGACTTTTGCTAAATTTCCTCTTTGATTAAATTTAGTCGTCTAAGCGAAGTCTTCATATATGTTATATTGCACTAATGTCTGCGATATTTAAATTAAGCGGCTTAATTTTTATACATTATTTTAGCGAGACATTTAGGAATTCAACTTTGATATATCAAAGTGTATAAGTCGTCTAAAACATATAAGAAACGTATTATTCATTAGAGATAGTTGTCATAATTGAATCGCCAAACCTTGAAGTAATTGTATTTGACAACATTTTTATATCATAATATCGCGTTCTAAAACAACAACACGAGGCGGTTATACGTTTCCGTAAATTCGTTATAACAAGTTAATTAACTCGTTATAACGAGATAATTAACTCGTTATAACGAGATAATTAACTTGTTATAACGAGAAAACTAACTCGTTATAACGAGATACTAACTCGTTATAACGAGATAAGTAATTCGTAATAACGAGATAAAACTAAGTCGTTATAACGAGATAATTAACTCGCTATAACGCGATAATTAACTCGTTATAACGAGATATTAACTCGTTATAACGAGATACTAAGTCGTTATAACGAGATAACTAACTCATTATAACGAGTTAAATATTTTTTTTATCTTTTCAGAAATGAGCCTATAGATCCGGCTTTCGTATATATAATGTATCTTTTAAGTATATATTTCATTGGAAATAAATAGCCCTGATTTTATAACTTTCTCGTGACAATAATTTTCAAAGAAGATGACTTTTTTTGCTATAAATAAGGAAGACTTGAAAAAAATATATGAAAGTTCATCGAAATGTGTGCGGGTAGTGTTTCTGGTTACATTCTATACACATCAATGTTAATATATATAATGCATCGTGGAAAAAAATCTCATACACCTTGTTTTGAATCTTTGAAATTTAAAAGTATATTATCGATTAAAAACAGATGAAATATATCACAATGATAAATTGAAATAATTTCTAAGTCATTTCAATTAACCTCAAGCAATCAAATTAAGTCAGCAGAATAACACAAGTTTTGAAATGTAATCATTCATTCTCTATAACTTAATGACATTTAGTTGAAGATTGCACAGCTTGAGCTGCTAAATCTGCGCAAAAAATTATATTACTTGCATTTTTGTTTAGAATTCATGTGTATCAAACGCCTTTTACTTACTAGTATTGAAATATTTTGAATATGGAGAATTGACCCATATGCATGGTAAATATAAAAGTATTTCGATCCGTGATTGAAAAGTTTTAATTAAATCAGATATGATTGAATGTTAAAATTAAATTTGTTTATGGACATTTTCTTCAGATAATATATATTTTTTCAACACACAATGACAAACATTAATCTGGTTGAAGATCGAAAGATTAGTTTTCTAACAAGGTCACTGATGTTGACGGCCTCTAAAATTAGGAAATGCTGACATACAAGTATATGACGGGGTTGTTGAAATTCCTGAACACTTATTTATCTATTAGTAGCCTGCCTGGTATCTGAGTATCGAATCAGAGGGGAGATGCTTACACCATATGCAGGTGAAAGCGGGATATTTCTTCATAAATAAGAAAAGTTGACGATTGAAAAGGGGAAATAATCTTGTTCGTATGTAGAACTTACACAGCATATTATGTGGACTGGGATTCCTTTGCAGGTATTAGGGTTATATTTCAACGTGAATAAGGGCAGTTGATGATATTTTTAAAAAAAAATTATCTTAGATTGTCGTGATGTTACCTTTTGCAAAATATCTAAAAAAAAAAAAAGATGTTTTAGACTTTCTTTATCATTTAAAGTTTATTGTGATATATATCGAGTCTACATATGTATGGAAGTAACTATATTTTAAGTGATAGTGCATGCAGTATCACTATGTCGTTGATATGCCGAGTTCAAGACACCCCACCCATTTTTTTCGATGAATACAAAAATGTCTGATAACAGAACGCATCATGGGGTATCTGACAAATTAAAGAAAACTATATTTAAAAACCTCATAGATATTGTCATGCAGTAAAAATCTTAAGCGTCTTATAATAGCAAGCATCCAAATATATCAACTTCGGAGAACTTGAGTGTTCACTCCGAGTGTTTTTGCAGAATAATATTATTGCAAATAAACAATGATAAGGTATTCCTTAAAAAAATTATTGACAAATTAGCTGTGCTAAAGAAGATAAATTATGTCAAAAAGAATAGATTAAAATGGTATTTTTTGAAATGGTTGTATAATGTAATAAAAAGATGTTTTTTTTTTCTTACAATATTCAATAGATTAAAACATTCATCCCCTTGAAACAAATTGTAAGGGACATAGTAACACGCTTGTGTGTTTGTGTTTGAGATGGTGAATATGTTTATATGTCCTGTATTCTTTGATGTGAATGTTGCTCCTCAATTGCTTTATTCAAGATTGTAACAATCAGACACTTTTAATTTATTCTGACAAAATGCCAGGGTCTTCTTTTTACATTTTAAGCCCAAATGGATCTTTTGCGGATTCTCCCATCGAATTCATAATAATTATGAAATTCTGACTGCTTCTAATTACGAATTTTCCAGGATACAGTGTATTTGCTTAACAAGCTTATCTTATTTAGGTACAAGTTTTTCTTATAATATTATTAGGTAATGTACAAGAGACATTAATATTTAAATGACTTGGAGCTTGCTTGTACATGTATATGTATTTTTTTTTCAAGTATTTAGATGCCAGTAAGATAGAACAGAATAAACAAAAAATGATGTATACATTCTTGCCAACAAAATAACCAACTAAACCATACTCTGTATCGTTAAAAATGCATATTGTAATGGGAATTAGAAAGAATTTTCAGTGCACAATAGTTATAAAAAGTAATTAAACCAGCAAAATAAAAAAAACGCTCGAGAAGTGTCAATGTATGTTACCATATTTATTCCAAGAAAAACATTAAACGTCATAATTGAGACAACAGAGATAGGGTATACGAATACACATAAATTATATATAATTATATGTGTAATGATATCAAGAACATATATACCTCCTTATATCGAAATAATGTGATATCTTGGTCGTGAATCAAGTTTTTTCTCTAAAATAACTCAGGTCTTTAAAATTAAATAAAGAAATGAAATAACAATATATTATGAATATTAAAATTCAAATCAACACAATAATCATTTTTATAAACACTTAAAAATAATAATAATAATAAAAGAAAACATAAGTTGTAAACATTTGTAAAGCACTGCAAATGACATACATGTAATTAACTAGCCGCAAAACTGAAGCTCTCTTCTTGAGAAAATTCGGACAGAGAAAGCAGAGAGCTACAGATCCAAGCGTTGTAAAAACCTTCGATTTACGCCGACGATTTTTTGTCGCTCACATTAGGTATTTTTTCTTCTATTTTATACTTCCCTCAGCTTTAATTGTATTTTATAATTATAATCATATATTTTACTTAAATTCTTGATAATTTACTTACCATTCAACGCTAACAAATGGCTGTTTTTGGTTACAGACGTCAAATCAGAACTCTTTTGAAACGACAAACTATAAAACTACAAAACTATATACAGGACTGTTTCGGACCGTTCAAAGATAAATAAACTTTAATAAATTATAAAAAAAAATAGTTAAATATATAATTAATTATAGGATAAAATTCACCAAAGCAAGAGAAGTTTAAACTACTCGAAATAAATACATATACCTGAAGTAGCGACAAAAATTGTCGGCGTGTAAATCGAAGGTTTTTACAACCCTAGGATCTGTAACTCTTTATCTTTTCGAATTTTCTCAAGCAGAGAGCTACAGTTCTGCAGCCAGTAATTAACAAGTCGCTCTGTAATACTAATAGCGCATGGTAACATTTCAAAATATACACTTCCAACTTGACACTATGTGATAAATTGTAATATTCAACAGATTAATAGAAAACTCATTAAGTTCGGAAACAGAAGCGTTAAAATATCAAATGATATGTACATTAATAATTACATTTAATTTCAATGTAATATCATATGTTGTTATGATCATAATGGCTAACATACTGATTAATTATTAAACTAATTGGTAACAATGAACATGTACTTCCATTTTTTCAGTTAAGCCACTAATAGATTATAACTCAGGATCTATACATCTGTATATAATCCGAGGGATACAACACAATTAAAAAGTGACGTAACAAGGCAATTGCATATTTCGATTTCATATCTAATGTGACATTTAAAAAAAAATTACTGTTAATCGATATAAATTGTTTATTAGGAGTCTAAAAAGTTTTCCCTTTTCTGAAGAATGAAAAACAATGTAATTATAGAATTATTCTTATCTGCATCAATTAACAGTTAAGCCTGAAACATTTCTTTTATTTTCTTTGAAACAACATGATTATGCTTTACTTTTTCCATTGACGGATTGTATTACCATTGATGTCAAAATATTATTTCAACAATATGTTTAAATTAGTATTGCAAACCATAACGCTTTTTGCCTTCCAAAATAATTATCATGGGGTACCCGGTATTTAAATCTAATACAACACTTCAGCAATATTATTCAAATTAAATTCTTCTCTCCTCTCCCAATAATCCACGGCATAAATGAAGTTTGAATTTTCTAAAGCCTTATATAGAGCACTGTGTTCGAAGGCATCCTTTTCGGCCAACAACTGTGGGTAACTATTAACTAAGTAATCACGCATTTCCAGTTCATCATTTATACAACATTCGTGAAGGACTGTTTTGCCCTCGTTTGTTATACTGTTGACATCCATACCTTTTTCTATCAGAAACTTGAAAAGATCTACACGCCCTGTCCAAGCTGCGACGTGTAACACGTCTCGATTCGTTGTGTCCTTTATTTCTAGCAGTTTTGGGTAAGTATCAATTAGATATTTACACATCTCTAAAGAACCCTCTTTACAACATAGATGTAAGACTGTTTCACCTGATTCAGATGAACAGTTTATATCCAGTCCTTTCTCCGTCAGAAATCTCACACAATCAACGTCTCCTCCCATGACCGCGTTAGGCAACACATTTTGTTCATAGCTGGCCCTTTTATCAAGTAACTGAGGATAAGAATCAACTAGATACTTACATAATTCTAATTTACCATTTATACAACATAAGTGTAAAACTGTTAGACCTGACTTTGTTCTACAATAAATATCCAGACCTTTTTCTATCAGAAACTCGACAAAACCAATGTTACCCGCCATTGCCGCGCAATGCAATGCAAGTTTTCCATCCTTATCCTTTATATCCAGTAAAGGAGGATAAAAATCAAGTAGGTACGAACACATTTCCATTGTACCATTCAGACAACATTCATGAAGGACTGTTCTGCCCAAAGTTGTTTTACTATAAACATCCGTATCTTTTTCTAACAGAAATTTGAAAAGATCTACTCGACCTTTCCATGCCGTAACGTGTAAAACGGTTCGATTCATACTGTCATTGCATTTCAGGAATTGAGGGTAAGTGTTTGCTAGATATTTACAAATGTCTAATGAACCATTTAGACAACATTCATGAAGGACAGTCCTTCCTCCGAAATTACTGTTGACATTAATGCCCTTTTCTATTAAAAACTTGAAGATATCAATATGACCTTTCGTTGCTGCAATGTGTAACACATATCGATTCCATATTTTGTCAATTTTTAGTAATTGAGGGAAAGTATTAATTAAATATTTACACACCTCCAAAGAACCCTCTTCACAACATAGGTCTAAGAGTGTTTCACCTGATTTTGATTGACAGTGGATATCCAGTCCTTTCTCCGTTAGAAATCTCACACAATCAACGTCTCCGCCCATGACTGCGTAATGCAAGACACTGCGTCCATATTTGTCCCTCTCATCTAGTAAATAATAATAAGTATCAACTAAATACTTACACAATTCTAATTTACCACTGAAACAACATAGATGTAAAACTGTTAAATGTGACCATGTTACACTATTGATATCCAGACCCTTTCTTATTAGAAACTTTACAAAATTAGTGTTACCCGCTATGGCTGCGTAATGCAACGCAAGATATCCATCCGTGTCACTACAATACAGCAAATGAGGATAAGAATTAATTAGATAGGTACACATTTCCATTGTACCGTTTAGACAACATTGGTGAAGAACACTACTTCCTGAATTTGTTTTTGTGTTAACATCCATACCTTTTTCTATCAGAAACTTGAAAAGACCAACACTTCCATTCCAAGCTGTGTAATGTAGTGCATTAAAGCTGTTTTGGTCTTCACCTTCAAGTAATTGAGGATAGGTATTTACAAGATATTGACACATCTCAAAGAATCCCCCTTTACAACTTAGGTGTAAGACTGTTTCACCTGATTTTGTTTTACTGTTGATTTCAAGTCCTCTTTCTATCAGAAATTTTAGAAAATCAATGTTTCCTCCTTCAGCTGCACAATGCAACACATTTTCTCCATTTTCATTTGCGATTTCCGATAAATGGGGATATGTATCAACAAGATACTTACACAATTCGAGTTTACCGTAGATACAACATACCTTTAGAACTGTGAAATCTGACTTTGTTCAACTATTGTTATCTTTTCCCGTTAGTAACCTGATAAAACCAATGTTACCCCCAATTGCTGCGCAATGTAATGCAAGTTTTCCGTCATTGTCCTTTATATCCACTAAATGGTGATAAACATTAACTAGGTACGAACACATCTCCATTGTACCATTCAGACAACATTCATGAAGGACTGTTCTGCCTAAGTTTGTTCTACTATTTACATCCAGACCTTTTTCTATCAGAAACTTGAAAAGATCAACTCGACCTTTCCGGGCTGTTACGTGTAACATATTTCGATTGGATATATCCTTACTTTCTAGTAACTGAGGGTAAGTGTTAGCTAGATATTTACACATCTCCAAGGAACCTTTTTCACAACAAAGATGTAAAACAGTTTCACCCGATTTTGATATACCGTCGATATTAACTCCATTCTCTGTCAAAAAGTTCACACAATCAACGCTACCTCCCTTGGCTGCGTAATGTAATACATTTTCTCCATTTATGTCCTTATTTTTCAGTAATTTGGGGTACGTATCAACTAGATATTTACATAACTCTATTTTACCATTAATACAACATAAGTGTAAGACTGTTAGATCTGTGTTTGTTCTACTATTGATATCAAGTCCTTTTTCTGTCAGAAGCTTGACAAAAGCAATGTTACCACTCATGGCCGCGCAATGCAATGCAAGTTTTCCATCCTTGTCCTTTTTGTCCAGTAAATGAGGATAAAAATTAACAAGGTACGAACACATCTCCATTGTACCATTCAGACAACATTCATGTAGGACCGTTCTGCCTAAAATTGTTCTACTATTTACATCCAGACCTTTTTCTATCAGAAACTTGAAAAGATCAACACGACCTTTCCATGCCGTGGCGTGTAGTAAATTTTCATTAGTATCACTCATAATTTGCAATAACTGAGGATACGTGTTGGCTAGATACTTACACATGTCTAATGAACCAGAAAGGCAACACATGTATAGGACTGTATAACCTGAATTTGATTTACTGTTGATATCTAGTCCTTTATTTTTTAAAATATTGACGCAGTCAATATTTCCTCCTATGGTTGCATAAAACAATGCATTTAGTCCTTGATTATCCATACAGTCCAGTAACTGAGGATAAGTTTCAACCAGGTGGATACTCATTTCTACTGAGCCACAACGAAAGCATTTGTGTAGGACTGTTTGTCCGAGAGCTGTTTTGCTGTTGATATCCATACCCATTCCTATAAGAAACATTAATAAATCAATATTTCCTCCCTCAGCTGCTGCATGTAAAAGATTTTGATCATCAACAGTTCTGATCTCTAATAAATGAGGGTAGGTTCCCAGTAAATATCTGAAAAGATCAATATGTCCACTGCATGCTGCAAAATGTAAAACGCTTTTGCCAGCCTTTGTTGTGATATCTTGTAAGTCTGGATAATTGTTTACTAAGAATTTACAAATATCTATTTTACCCTTCAAACAACATAAATGCAGAACTGAAAGACCATCCTTATCCTTACTATAAACACTGAGGCCTTGATCTACCAGAAACCTGAAAAGATGAATATTACCTCCCATAGCCGCAGAGTGTAAAATGGTTTTATCGAAGCTGTCTTTGACAAACTTTAAATGAGGAAAAGTGTTTATTAGGTATTTACACATCTCCAATTTTCCATTACCACAACTAAAATGCAAAACAGTTTGATTTCTTTGTGTTTTACTGTCGGCTTCAAGACCGTTTTTCAGTAGGAATTCAAAAAGTTGAATATTACCACCCCATGCCGATTCATGTAAAGCATTTAAACCTTGGTCATCACAGACGTCCAATAAATAAGGAAAGTTGCTGACTAAGTACTTGCACATTATATATGCTCCAACAGAACAACAATTATGCAATACTGTTTTACCATTGTTTGTTTTACTTGAAATGCACAATCCATTCTCAGCCAGAAATTTGACAATTTCAACATTACCTCCATATGCTGCGTCATGTAATGGAGTGTAACTGTATTTGTCGCTAATACCCAGTAACAAGGGATAAGTATGAACTAAGTATTTGCACATCTCTATTTTACCTTTAATACAAGAAAAATGGAGGACTGTTCGAAATGTATTTGTTTTACTATAAACATTATATATATTAAATCCTCTCTCTGTCAAAAAATGAAAAATATCAATATTACCTCCATAAGCGGCGCTGTGTAACAAATTTAAACAATCAGTGCGCTCAATATACATTAGTTCAGGATACCTCTTTACTAAGTATTTAAACATTTCTATTTTTCCTGCAAAGCAAGAGGAATAAAGAACTGTACTACCCTGGTATGTTTTTCTATTCACATCCAAACCCGTCTCTGCCAGGAATTGAAAAAGATCTACATTCCCTCCATATGCTGCATCATACAGAACAGTAGATCCACTTTTGTCGATTATATTCAGTAATTGTGGGTACTCTCTAACTAAGTACTTACATATCTCTATCTGGCCATCTGCACAACAACAATGCAAGACAGTTTTACCTTCATTTGTTTGGCTACTGACATCTATGCCTTCTAGGAGTAGAAACTTAAAAAGTTCAACATTACCTCCGTAGGCTGCGTAATGTAAAGCATTTAGACCATATGTGTTACATTCGTATAAAAAATGTGGTTGCTTATCCAGTAAATATTTACACATTTCAATCATACCATTCAGACAACAACTATGAAAGACAGTTCTACCATTATATGCTTTACAGTTAACGTCCAGACCTTCCTGCAATAAAAGTTGTAACAGTTCAACATTGCCTCCCCAGGATACATCATGTAACACGGTTTCACCATCATAGCTTCTTAGTTTTAGTAAACAAGGATAAGTGTCTACTAAAAATCTACACATATTAAAATATCCATGTTTACAAGCAATGTGTAGAATCGTCTTTCCTTGATCTCCTAGTATCGTTGACGGATCAATATCCATCTTGAGAATAAACTCTACCACATCTAAATGATTTTGAGAGCATGCCTTTTGTAATGAAGTAAATATTTGCTTTTGTGAGGAAAGACGTAATAGACATTCTACCCATTTGGCATGGCCGGCTTCCGAGAAATGAACCAACATCGAATCATCGTTTTCGTCCACATTATTTATCATTACATTTATGAACTCTTCGTTTTGGAAAACCTTTCTAAAAAAAGCTTCATCGGACCAGAGTTTTAATAGTGATACTGCCTTATACTCAGATGCCTTTGCACCCTTTAAAAGGATAATGATTCTGTCTATGACGTCTGGAAACATTTCGTCAGTTATGGTAACAGTATTCACTGCTTTGACGGACTTTGTTGCAAGAGAAACTAGGAGAAAAGGATCACATAAGCTGATGACATCTTTTGGGTGAAACTGAAAAATGTACAAGAAAAGGCTATCTTGTACAGAACTATGTGTAAATTTAAATATTTTCTCTATCTCATCGTATTCTATAAAAGAACCTTCGTAACATTCCGTTGACCTTTGGAAATCTTGCATAAAAGCAGTATCTGTCTTCATTCCTATAATTTCAAAAGCCTTTTGTTTTCTTTGCCTGTCTGAGGAAGGGGTTTGCAAAGTTTCAGCAGCAACTCTCCCTCCACAAAAAAGAATATACACCAAAACAGCAGTTTTCGGCTTTTTTTCTCCTATTCTTTCTTTGATTTCATTCCGTAGATATTTCAAAGGTTCTTCAAATAATTCATAAGTATCAACATTGTTGCATTTTCCGTCTTTCAGAAGTCTGAAACATTGAGGGATACCTATTGAACATCCAAGAGTTTTTATTTCGAGTACTTTATCGATGGAAATGATATCTTGTAAGTCGTATTTTGTTACAAAATCTTCTAACTCTTTTCTATTTATCCGATTTTCGATGTCGGATATATTAACAACAGCTGAACGCAAAAACTCGCTGCCCTCCAGTTTCTGTTTTATTTCGTTATATATTTCACTCCTTATTGTCACAATGAGCATATTTCCGTCTGAGATGTCATCATTTGATACCAAAACTTTTATGAGATCAAGCTGATTGAAAAAGTAACGCACCTCTTCATTTAATACAAATGTTTCTCCAAATATGTTGTCTAAAAATATTGCAACATTGGAGCATGATGGGATTAGACTATAAATATCATTGGTTGACATTATCTGTAATGGATGCTTCCCTTCTTTCTGCAGTTCCGTTAAGATATGCCTAGAGAGAGTGGTCTTTCCATCCCCTTGATTTCCCCTGACGAGAACAAACCCATTCCTTTTAATGACATTCAATATTTTGTCCATAGTCCGAGTTTTTACGAACATGGGAGTAATTTCCTCAGACGAACTTTTCAACATTTTTTTCGTTGTATCTGAGATAAAGATGAATGTGTTTAAAAACATTTAATATACATCATTTGCTTAAAATAAACAAAGACCGTATTTATTTCGATAAGGTACAAAATACGAAATATATATTTGTACATTTATAGTGATTTAAATGTTGACATTTCCAATTTTAATATTTCCACATTTTAAGGTGGTAATACCGACTTAAAAGTTTGTAGTGTGGATTATCCAACTTTAAGGTTTATAATTTTAACTTTAGCGTTGGTGATTCCTAATGTCTTTTGTGTCTAAATTGTCATTAGAGACGTTACTTCACTCAGTCTTTGGACTACTGGAGAACAATACGTGATCATTCGAAGGAAAAATGGTTTTGCTTAATATAATTATTACACAACACAAAAAATTATTAATTTAACTAACTTCTCACTGTAGATTATAAATATCCTTTAATAATACATTAGATAAATTGCTTAAATTTCCTGTTTTATCTAAATTTATCAAATTAACTTATTCATATGAACGCGAGAAATCCGAACTAAGAACCTAGTCACATCGTCATGGTGGTACGAGGGGTGATCAAAAAGTTCGCAAACTATCTCTATATCTACGAAACCACAATTCAGATTAAAATGAAATTCGGTACACACATAGCCATACACAAGGTCTTTAAATATCATATGCTGAATAAAGTTTTTCTCCTTGTTTGTGACGTCACAATGTGAAAATGACGTCACTATGTAGGTCACTTGTGACGAAAAATGGTTGTCTCAGTCGAACTTGTTCAACAAACGACTGTACAATTTATTGTATGTCTTAAAAATCCCTCTGCAGTATAATATAATAATTTGTACACAGTTTATTGAGATAAATAAGTTCCTATAAATTCAATTAATGATTGGATTGATCGTTTTAGTGAAGGAAGGCAGATGGTTAAAAATGATACTTGTCATCTTACCCAATGAAAGCAAGTTTGAAAAGATAATGTATTTTTGATTTATTAATTTGCTATAATGATCCTCCAATAAACACTTTGAAAAATAGTTGAATATTTGAACAATAATATAATTATCAAATACCTAAGATATCGTTTACTTTAGATTTTAAACATATTAGATATGATAAAAAGGAGGCACCCATTCTCTATCCACCTTGAATAAAAGTATCTCCCGAGACAGAAGATTTGTGTTTTAATAGTCGCCATGCTTAATTTTGGAAAGGATATTCTTATCCACCCATTCTGTTGCCGAGATATGACCATTTCTGACAAATGAACTGTTCTTCTCATAAAAATTAACTCACATGGTAAGAAATATAAAACTCAGAAAAATCTTTCATCTTTTGTAACAGAACGCTACGGAGGGGGTTACGTGACCGCCAATATCATGTGATTCACGCATGCGCAGAACAATGGTTGATGTGCATTAAAATCGCGGAGGATTAATTTAAAATATAATCAACATTGAAACCAAATATCGTTTCTTTTATGGAAGTTATTCAATTAGTTTGCAAACTTTTTGATCACCCCTCGTACATTGTGTATACTTTAAGCTCTTAATTTATTGTAGATTATGCACTAGATTCATAATTTTAACTTTAGCATTGGTGATTCCTAATACCATGTGCAATAATTTTGTGCCTATATTGTCATAAAAGACGTTATTTTATTCAGTCTTTGGATTACTGGAGAAAAATACGTGATTATTTAAAGAAAAATAGTATTGATAATAGTTATAAGTTCACATTATTAATTTAATTTCTGATTATAAGTTATATAAACATTTCGATAATTAATTCATTATTAAAGGCTTAAATCTCTTCACATCTTACTCCATCAATTTTACCTGTTAACATGAACTTAACAAATCTCTAAACACAACCAGGGTAAAAATATTAGAGTTTGGACTCTAAATATATTCAGAAAAAGAAATGTTTTGATTTTCTACTTCAAATATGTCTTATCATGATTGAACTACTTTTACATTAATTCAGGCATTATATTATTATAACATGATAATGATTATACAGGGCATAGCAACAGGGGGGGGGGGGGGGGCAGGGGGGGCTGGCCCCCACTCCCCCCAACCCTACTTATACTATAGAAAATGTTAATTGAAAGCCTGGTTGCCCCCCTACTTTTAGTGATTATGATATACCGAAAATGTAGTATTGGAATTGGTACTGAGAGTAGTTGACACTGATAAAAAGTTTACTTACCCCCCCCCCCCCCCTCCACGAAATAGGATTTTCAACTTTGGGCAACTTTTTCCTTTTTTTTGCTTGTCAACTGTTTCATGTAAGTAAAAAAAAATTCTCCGGCTGCCCCCCCCCCCCCCCCACTTTCAAAAACGATGCCATGCGACTAATTATAATATATTATAATTTATTAAGTGGACATGCGATAAGAAAAGTCTCCCCCAATCATGACCGAAGCATACTTGATCGGAAAATAAAATTAACCCAAATTTAGTTCTCTGCTCCACAGAATTTATAAAAAGATGAACCTGCTTAATAGGTTTACATGCTCAGTGTCCTCCATAACAGTTTAAATTTTTTGGTTTATAACTTAAAGCTGAACACTACTCGTAAATAGGCATAGTCCGCCATATTTCCCGTTCTTCAACGCTCTCCCTACAACTCGTATATAAGGAGCAGATCGCTAGTCAGTTCAATGTACTTCACTATAGAGATCCGACGAGTGTAGACGCACATCTTGCAAAGCATGCTACTCATTATCGATGAAATTATCAAATTTTACGCATTTTTTTCCGAAACAGGACAAAAGTATCATGGAAAATGTAGGTCAATACATTATTTACAAACAGAAAATGCACATAAAAATAAGAAATAAAGTCAAAAAATCTAAGATCACGATAGGAGTACTACATGTCGGCCACGAGTTTCGAGTGTGCAATCGGGTGTAACGAAAGCGAACGGTTTATATACCCGTCTGACAGAGCCTATTTATGAGAAATGTTCAGCTTTAAGGGACTTTTACGAGAAGCACTGACTTTTGCGGTTTACTGTTTACATGGACCTTTAAACCTGTATCGTCTACGGAGGTACAGTCAGAAAACCTTTCAAGTAGTCATAGTAATGGTGTAAGGGGCACTAAAATGTGAAGGCCGAGAGTTGGGGTAGTATGGTTGTCGCTGTCTTTAAGGACAATTCTGTGCTTTGACCTAACAAGTTATTTTTGTTGAATGAAATGTTGAGCTAAATATTTATATCGTAAAAGAGTTTCCGTACTCTGTCGAAGTGGAAAAAAAGTCGTCAACTGTAAAAGTCAGCACTTCTCGTAAAAGTCGAATGAAACCATTTAATGAATGTCTTTTAAAAATCAAATAAAAAAATAGAAAAAAAATACGAAGGAAAAAAGACTCACCAAACATTACTGTCAATTCTGCAAAGAAAAAATATTATTTTAAAAAAAATACATTCTTAATCTCATTACACCACACACACACACACACACACACACACACACACACACACACACACACACACACACACACAGACCTACCTCTAGGAATTGCAGAACCATTTTCTGCACTGAAGTTTGCAAAGTCATCTGAAATAATTCTTACTATTTTAAAATTTCATGATGGCAAACAATGAATATGAATTGGATTTTATTTAAACTTCTTTATTTATCAAATGATAAAATCTGATTTTAAAATAGATCCTACTCCTAAGCTCAGTAAGCGTTTGTCTTGTCTCCTTATCGTCATCTGCTTGCTGTCTCAGTTGTTCACCATAAAGACTATCACGGATTGGATCCATGGTTTCGTGACGAAGAAAATCTACTGCTTTCTCATACTGATTTCCATTATTGAGAAAGCTATCTATATCTACAATGGCTGATCGTACTATAGACCAAAGAGAATTAAAGTCTACGTTAGATATTGATGGGTTTGATGAATGGACACTCTGATTTCGCGCCAATCGGATTCTTTCAATGTTTGCAGAAGTTGATCTATCATTTGAATCAGGATCATTTCCCCAACCTTTTAAGTGTGACTGTATGCCACAAATGTTTCTTAGCAGTATGTATAATAAAGAAATGTCCATATCATTGTAATTTCCTGAGTAAACTCCATGTTGAGGGAGGATAAGATTTCTTTGTTCTGCAGTTAAACGAGGTAGATAAGGACTCTTTTGCCGAATTAATCCCGCAAAGTTTGATGCCGAGACATAATGACGTAATAAATCACGAAGTGAATTTGTGCAAGGGCCAAGTAGGAGTCGAGATGCTCTATTCGCGTTCGTGGTCCCTTCTGTTGATGAATAAGGTGAATAAGCCATCGTTAATAAAACACCTTTCCTGAAATGTAAATTTATTTAGATATTTGACCATATAATCAAACTTGTCAAACAGGTGTAAGTTTGATACGTTATCAATTGTCTCTGGAAACTGCTGTTCAAAGATTCAACGATCTATTGTCAAAGTTTGATGAGCCTCCTCAACAAATTAAGGATGATCTTATCAATATTTGGGCATCACATGCTACACGTTTACCATATAAAGTAAACAGATAACAACGCATGTATTTGAATGCAAATAGTCAGGAATGGGAGGAATGAGTACTAGCACTAGTAATGCACAAATTATTACTGCTACAGTTGCAGTTGCAATAACGTCTACCACAAGATATACATGTACCTAGGTAAAAACTAATTATATGAAAAACTTACTCCTTTGCATGGTAGTATATCAGGTCGCCCGCGTGCCGCTGTAGTTGGAGAGTCTGCTCTAGAGTGGCGATGTAAGGAGTTGATCCTTACATTGCGGGTTCGAATCCCACTGTGGCCCAGTCTTTGTACGGGGACATGGAAACCGGTCTTTCTGATGAGACCGTATAAACCGAGGTACCGAATCGCAGTAGGTTCTGGCACCAAAAAGATCCCTCACTGCTCAATGGCCTTCGGTGCCGAGCCTAGGACAAAGATTTGCAGCTCTCATCACCGGCAAGTGATGGTGTCTCCGTATGAGTGAAAAATTCTCGATAGGTACGTTAAACAACAAACAAACAGTATTCCAGTACTTAATTTAACAAACGACAATATACTTCTCAAGCTGTTGTAAAGAGCTCAGCAATATTACTGAATACCCACAAACCGTAATTGATCTGGCCAGTCCAATCTTTAAAGACATAAATTAATTTGATAAATAGGAGAGAGTAAGGATCACTGGAGACCAGCAAAACTACCCATGGAACGATTCCTACCCCAATGATCACTAAACTTTTAGGAGAAATTTTATGGAGAATTGGAGATGATGAATGAGGCTTGCAGTCACAGAGGAAAGTCGTGAAAATAGGAGCTGTGCACAGATAATACAGGGCAGATGAGCCAGTCAAACAATGGAATACAGAATTTAATATCATCTACTAATTTTGTTGCTGTATCATGCAACAAACGGTCCTACTGATTAGCTGAGAACCACGTAAGACATTGCCTGTTGTGCCGATAAAACCTCCACCCACAAATTGCCATGTTGTAAAACATTATGATGCAAGAGTATGTTTTAATTGTTCTAGGAAGAACAAAATAAACAACTGTCCACCGAATTGGTAATGTAAGAACTGCAAGAACATCAATAATACTTGACCCCGCGACCAATAAAATTTGTTATCTTATTTGTAGTCCTTATAATAAGATGTGTTTTTGCTAAAAGAGCTGAAGAAGGAGTGAATTTATCGAGGAACCGCTATATAAAAAAACAATTCACTTTACAGATGAAACAGATAAAAATGAGTAAAAAGTATTTTATAGAATACAATCGTGTAAAATTTATTATTACATAAGGCTGTTATGAAATGAACAAGAGGCCCACGGTCACAAAATTCGAAGTTCACTTCCGATGGACATCATGGATGATTCTAGATAAATTGATGAAAAATGACTTTGCAGTTCTTAAGAATAAAAATTCTTTAGTTTCAGGAGTTCTAATTATATCTAGATCTCCTTAAAAGAGGGCGTGGTGCGTTTTGTAAACAAAGTAAAATCCCTTTTAATTAAGAAAGAAAGCCTTTTGGCAAGTTTGTTTGCAAATATACTGAAAGGAAAAAGAAACGCAGGGTAAACTTTTGAGGTGAATTCAATTTATTTTTCTTTCATTTTTTTACTTATAAAATCATCCTTCAAAAAGATATATAACCAAAATCCTTTTTATTTTTTTCTCATAATTCACGAGTTATTGAAACTCATATGACGATACCCCCCAAAAGTGAAAAATCGAAAACTCGCATTATCTTCAATATCTCTTCCGCGCATCTGTCAGAGCCTTATTTTTTCCTTCGCATTTAATTCATCAGAGTGTTTATCTTTCAAACCCTGGCAATACTGGGCATGGGTAACCACGCCAAAAAAATAGTCAAACGACGCACGCATGCGCCAGTGAGGGGAACGCAACAGCAAGTTGACCGGCTCAAAAAACCAAACTGCGGAATTGTTTTCCTTCATTTTTCGTGTGAATGTAATGATTACAATAGTCTACCCTATAAATGGCGGTTTTTGTGGTAGTAAGGTGGCGATTTAAGAGATGTCAGGACGATTAACCCGCTCGTAACATGACTCTGTTTCCCGTTAACATCATCGTCACGGTTGATTGAAAACCATTACAGGCCCTCTCTGACAATGGGTTACAAGTTTTATGGGAGAAATTTTACAAAAAACTGCTTAGTTACCCGTTGTTGCCATTTTCATTGATTGGGTAATACGAAAACCAGACCCAATGGAACTTCTGTAAACTGTAACAAGATTGCAAGAAATTCGAAACGTCTGAAAATATTGAAAAATGATGTGCATACCTTAGGTGCATCAAATGGTGCAAAAGACTTGTTGACAAACTCGTCGTCATCAAATTGCACGTGTTTTGTGCTTTTTAGTGTTTTCCCTACGTGACGTCATACATTTTACGGTTGAGTAATTCTGAAAACTGATTTTGGTGCATAGTAACTAAATTTCTCATCTGACCAAATTTCGTAATGCGGTCAAAAAAATATCGAATATTATGCTACCCTGCGTTGCATTTTCCTTTCAGTATATTATAATCACTTGGCGGAAATAAAAAATGTGAAAAGTTTACAAAGAAAACGACATAAGACATTTGATCAGAAAAGCTCAGTCGCGCCTTCAATGAGCTACAAATGATATAAAGAAGATGAAAATATTTATTCTTTTTTTTAATGCTTACTTACCAAATAATTGCTGATTTGTTGTTTACGATTTATCAGTTTGAAATTTCACCGACAATAAATGTAGAGGATTTCTGGATAGAGATTTATACCTGAAAGATAAGTGCATACTTTTCATATCAAATACAAGTAGATTGACAAAATTCTATTCAATGTTATACTAATACATTTTTCGAGAAGCACTAACTTTTACAGTTGCCGATCTACTTTGACAATTATTTAAACCTGTGTCATGTACGGAGGTACAACATTGATAGTAGATAAAAAACTTTTCTAGTGGTCATAGGTCTGGTGTTAGGGGAACTTAGATTTGAAAACCGTTAGTTAAGGGTAGGGTGGTTGTTGTTTTCTCCATGGACAACATATTTGTGCTTCGAAATAACTCGCTATTTTCGTTGAATTAAATGTTGAGTTAAATATTTGTATCGTAAAAAAGTTTCCGTGCATTTTCTATAAAAAATAAAGCCATATAGCCCCGCTCATTCAAAGGTTATGGACAAGGTTAAAGTTTTGTAGACAAACAGGTAAACAGCTAAACGGACAGACACACATTTGGTTATATATTGGGTACATCAAGTCCAAATCCTATTGGATACTGCTTATTGGATACAAAAAAAGTGTACACACGAGAGAGCATTATTTGGGTAGTTACTGTTCAAATCTTATTGGATATTAATCCTCGTGTCCGTATTTTATTGGGTTTTTTCTTATTGTTTTTTATTCATTTCAAATTTATTATATATTTAATATTTGCTGGTAAATTCAGACAAGACTGAAAACCTTTGGTTTTGAACCCATATTTTAGTCAATTTCTGTGATAAAGTTCTTTTATTGTAACGCTTAACTAATTTGTTCTTAGCAATAAGGATATACACCTGTATATTTCAAAATAACTATTATCAAAATATATGAATACCTTAGTGCAAAAAAACTGAATTGTGAAAACACAACTCAACACATCTCAGACTCTGTTCAACCTTTCTTGAATAACAAAATTAAGTATTTAAGGAGAAACCTTTTTGAGTCATGACCAATTAATAATTAGCATGAAGGTATCCAACAGGCATTGGACAGGTGTCCAATACCTGTTGGGTTGTATTTTGACGAAGGGATTAAACTACCCAAGAACAATTGAACATGTGTACATTGTCCAATTCTATTTGGGTTTCTTGAATCTCCTCATCAAAATACAACCCAACAGGTAATGGACACCTGTCCAACTCCTCTTGGATATCTACATCCCACCCAACAGGTAATGGACACTTGTCCAATTCTTCTTGGGTTTCTTGAATTGTTTCATCAGAATACTACCCAACAGGTAATGGACATCTGTCGAACTCCTCTTGGATATCTACATCCCACCCAACAGGCAATGGACACTTGTCTAATTCTTGGGTTTCTTGAATTGCATCATCAAAATACAACCCAACAGGTAATGGACACCAGTCCAACTCCTCTAGGATATCTACATCCCTCCCAACAGGTAATGGACACTTGTCCCCATTCTTCTTGGGTTTCTTGAATTGTTTCATCAGAATACCACCCAACAGGTAATGGACATCTGTCCAACTCCTCTTGGATATCTACATCCCACCCAACAGGCAATGGACACTTGTCTAATTCTTGGGTTTCTTGAATTGCATCATCAAAATACAACCCAACAGGTAATGGACACCTGTCCAACTCCTCTTGGATATCTACATCCCACCCAACAGGCAATGGACACTTGTCCAATTCTTCTTGGGTTTCTTGAATTGTTTCATCAGAATACCACCCAACAGGTAATGGACACCTGTCCAACTCCTCTTGGATATCTACATCTCACCCAACAGGTAATGGACACTTTTCCAATTCTTCTTGGGTTTCTTGAATTGTTTCATCAGAATACCATCCAACAGGTAATGGACATCCGTCCAACTCCTCTTGGATATCTACATCCCACCCAACAGGCAATGGACACTTGTCAAATTCTTTGGTTTCTTGAGAATCCCCTCATCAGAATACTACCCAACATGTAATGGACACCTGTCCAATTCCTCTTGGATATCTTCATCCCTTCAATAGTATATAAACTAAAAGGTATTGGACATTCTATTGAGTTACTCAAATTTTTTTTCATAAGAAAGAAAACCCAATAGGTATTGGACATTGGTTCAACTCTTCTTGGATATGACATCCCAACATTAGAATAAAACACAACAGGTGATGTTTACCTGTCCAATTCTTCTTGGGTTACTTATACCCTTCATTAAAATTGTAAAAATTGTCTTGGATATTTATACTCTTGCATTAGATTGCAAACCCAATAAGTATGACATTTACCTTCCCTAGTTGAATTCAAATTTATCTGCATAAGCATACATAAGTCCAAAACATATTTAATACTTTAATTCTAACATTCCACATCTCATTCAGTGTACACTTTACAAATGATAGGAAATATATAAGCATTTTGTGCCTAAACTATTTGGCTTTTAAAGAATTTTATAACCATGTTTGCAAACTTTAAATTTAAATATTGGAACTTGGAGCAAGTCATTACAGGTAGAGCAAGATGCTGAAAACCATATTGATAAATAGATCATACCCTTGATAAAACATTTGCCTTCAGTTGCTAAGATTGTGTTGTATTGTATGGAAAATTTCTATAATCCTGTTTATTACAGATACATGTACAATGCATATTTTCCCTGTAATAATAAAAATACTTCCGAGATGTAAAAGAATGGATTAAATAGTCACCGATGTTAAAAGATATTACATGGTCTCATTAATCTGGTTCGGAAATTACAAACTTAGTTTTGAAGCCGATAAAACAGTGTCGCACCGGAAAACTCAGTTACAAGTACCATGAATGAATTCGTTGTATCAAAACTTTAAAATAATTGATGCACTATGTCCAAATCTTTTCGACAAATCGGGATAAAGATATTAAATCAAATCATCACTGTTATAAGTCTTAGAGCTAGAGAAAAGTCATAACATGCCCAAATTTTACATGTAAGACTTTGATCCTATATTTCAATAAATGTCAAAATGGTTTTATTTTTGTTTCTGTTCAATACTTTCTTCTTCAGGGTCTCTCATGGCCTATACTGTATGATGCCTCCATTGACCCTGCTCTTTTATATTGCCATATGTTTATCCAGTAGCAGTGATTATGCTCAGGCAATCTTTGAAATATTCCTCATTTCATGCATCTCCTTCAGTTCTGCCTCTATCCATTTTATTCATTCTGCAATTAGATAAAGGCATTTCTTTGCCGTTTAAAACATGTTTTTCTTGATTACAGCAAGATCACCCTTTATGTTGATCAAACCCAACCAAGAAGTAGAAGTATATTTCTTATTTAGAAATATGTATTGATAAAATGGAAGAAAAACTAAATTCTATCAACTCTTTTTTTTTCTTCTATGTCTAACTGCATCTTCATCCTACCCCCCATCCGCCATAATTTTATCAAAATGGAATCATCATTCAACACACAAAACGATGTTGCATATTAATTAGACAGTATGTTGGTTTCTGATTGTTAAGAACGAGATTTTAAAAAGATTTTACACCTATTCCTTGCAAATTTTAGACTTCTAATGTAACACTATCAGTACATTAGGGGTACATAATCTTCAAAAACATCTCTACACTTAATGATAAAGCTTTCACATTAGCATTGTTTTTAGCCCAATGGTTCTGCTAAAGAGGATTTAAAATTGACCCAAACCTTACTAACTTCTTTGAAATTATATTGACAGGGACAGAGACACAAATGACACTCCATCCCCCCTTCCTGGGGTATGCTTTGCACAAAATTTAAATAAAATTGACTTAGCTGGATAGAAGTTGAAAATATAAAAAAAATTACAGTCAATCAGATTATGAATAACTTTCAGCACATCAGACATGAAGTAGTGATCCTTAAATAAAATACACCTACAAGATGAAGCTGTTTTATTCCTTTGAAGTGATATCTAGTATTGTTTCTTTTCCTGTATGCCACCTCTATCAGAACAAAATGTTATACATGTATTAACACAACCTATGACCGTATAGTACCCCAGTATTTACTTTACAATTAATTAAGTTCTGGAACCAACCCTCAGATGCCCTTATAACAAACGATTCTAAACTGGCAAAGGCAAAGGGCATCTGAAGAATTTAAAATAAAATGATAGTACAAACAAGCTAACGGTGTGCATGAAAATGTTGGCAAACACTGACGTTGCGCACTGTGTTGGTGTCAGTTTTCTGTAACGTCAAAATGACGTTATTTTACGTGAAGTTCTAGAAAATTTATTTGACGTTACTTTTTTGCTAACATTTTTTATGGAGGAAAAATAAAAACCCAGTAATGTCGCCAATTTTATAATGCAGGTAATTGGAAACACGTGTTATTAAATTATCTGCACCCTTCTGCATGCATATTGCGGGAGGAAAGTATGAGCATGGTTTGCCTTTTTTAAAAAAAAAAACTTTGTAGAAATAACGAAACTTGTTCAACATCGCATTTTAAATTTACATGCTTTTTATTTTATTGAGATAAATTCAACAAAAAATCCATATCAGTAGGCCCTAGAACCTGCCCTTTGTTTTCAGTAAATTGTACGATTGTAGATATGTTGCTGATTTAGCACTGAATTATTTTTTTTCGTTCAAGGTCCTATCCCATCTTGTAATGAAAATCTAATTCATTTGTATTCACCTCCGACAACCCCTAACCCTTATTCAATATTGAATTATTCAATGTAAACGCGCCATGTATGAAAAAAATATTTTATACCAGCATAAAATAGAGTTGACATACTTTACTGTGAGTTATTTCAAATTTGAAATCATATCCTTGCATAAATTTTGGTTTGTGTGATTTTTTTCTCGTGTCTTAATTCGAACTCTGAATGGTACTTTTGTAAAGATTCTGACAAGGTTTTATACCGATACAGTGTACAAGTATACACTGCACATGTTTTACTTTTATATATAAATGCAACTTTTAAAACTTAGAATTATTTTTCTAATTAATCATTATTGGTATGTTTTTTTCTTTTATCCATATCAGGCTCATCAGCAATTGAGAGTAAGTTTTGGTAGGGGAGAAAAAATATTTTGACCCTTTACCTGACTTTTATGTATTGAACCTAAGATAACGTCAAAACGCCAAAATTTTACGTCTGTGACATTTATGTTGACATTTAAATTTTGTAAGGATTTTGTCACCATTCTACTGAAATTATTTTGGAATATACCAATAACATTTTGAAAAGATGCACATTTCATAAAAATCCTTTAATTTTCAATATTTCTATTTTCAATAACTACACATGTGATCAATGTTACCACGTTTATACAATTATAGTAAGATTTATTACTTTTGGACAATGTGTGACATTTATGTTGACATTGTAAAAAGCCTATAAAACAAACACTTCTTTATAGAATCAATTCATTTTCATATCTAAATAAAGTTTTGATTTTGCACATTTTGTATTAAACGTTGTTCGGTGCCAAATTAGAAAAATGTATTCTTAAAACTTAGGTCATTTTTGGGGTGTAGCATTTTAACGTGACGTTTTTGCCGTCAAATTCAATTGTGACGTATAGCTACATGTAGTGCATTTATGTAACACGGCAATTGTTATTATAATTTAAGGCACCGCAAGTTAAAATTCTGTCTAGAGATCTTTTTTCTTAATAACTTGGCAACATTTTGTAGAATTTGAAATAATTTCCGGCATCAATTTTTCATCCAGCATTACAAAATTTGCCATTTTACTAATCTTAAAAACTTTGCGACATTGAACCTCCAAACTTTGTGGCACACCATCTTAGTCAATGTCCCCACAATAAATCGGCTTAATATCAGAAACCCAACATACATATCGACACAAAATTTCAGTCTAATTTAAAATATAGTTCCTTGCACACAAAAAGGATCATTGACATGCCATTTCAAAATTGATTTTGCTCATGAAATTATTTTTTTAAGTTACCAATGACATTTCATGTTTCTTTCAAAATTTCTTCGGATAACGCTTATCTACATCGCTGTCTTACATTTTGAACAACGCGTTCACAACATTCGGATTGAACAAAATTACAATTGTAAAACTTTACATCGGTTACATCATATTTTGAACTTTTCTGTTAAATTTTTTGTTTGTATTGTTTGTTTTATGGAAATTATCAACATTTTGTTATTGCGTGTGCGACGCTCCTGTTACCGATCTACATGCGTTTTTCACGTAATTGACGGAATAGTCAAATTATATCTTTGACAAATGGAATTTTTTAAACAAAATTTTTGTTAAAATGTATTTTAAAAGTATACAATTACCGACCGAATGATATATAGTTTTCATATAATGAATTGTTTTAAAATTATGAAAATAGCGCAAATGCCGCTGCAATAGTATTTTTTAACCTTTTGACACCAACACCGTGCGCGACGTCTAAATATAATACTAAGGTACTTTCTCAAACTTAACATGAATACTAAAGAAGTTTTATGTGGCTGTATTGCACATACCAAAAGCTTGCCTGCAGTTAAAGGTTGGTTGCCTAGTAGTTATGTAGTATGTACAAGTTTTTCCCTCTATTTCTTCTAATTTAAGAAGCGAAAATGTCTCTAAAAATCTTATGGTTGGTATGAAGTATTCCTGTTCATTTTACTGATTACTTACAATTGTCCTATTTCTGAGGGTCATCTTCTGATGGGTGTGTTCTCTGCAATGTTCACAATTGAAGTTCCTGTTTGACCTGTTACATATTGAAAATCCTCAATGAACATGATTATGGTTTTAATTTCCATAATAATCATTGATTACTTTTATTTAAAAAAATCTAAACCAATTTATTGTAACATAAAACTTAGGAAAATATTCATGTTATATCAATGGAAAAAAGGAATCATTATCTCCAGTTATCCTAAAATCACAAATAAGCATTAATCATATAAATTCACATACGTAAACCCATTAGCTTTTTGTGCTATTAAATCATAGTCATCGCTGTGCAATAAAGGAAATCAAGTACTAATCCACAGCTTTGTGGCAATAAAGTTACTATCCCCGAGTAAAAAGTGACAAGCCCAAATATAGAGGCAAAAATTAAAAAGTAACATATTGAAAAAAGTTCATCGTGAAAAAAGTCAGGGTATTAACTACAGATGATTCTTTTTAAAATTAAAGTTTAATTTAATTTTCGCTAGTAAAATTTAATCATATATAAATTAATGATTTAAAAAAATGGAAAAAAAAGATTTAAGATATTCCTTTTCTGGTCATTCACTAGATCGTCTAATTAAAACGAAGCAAAAATCATTTTGTTTTCATCTTGAATCATTTAAAGCCATATATGGCGTATGTACAATGAAAATTATTAGACTAAAATTATAAGAACTTATTATTTGTATCATTACTTTATATAAACATGATAAAGATAGAAATTTTCCGTAAATTACAAAATCTAAGTCAATTGCGTTATAAAGATATCAAAATTTAATTTGGATTCTCGGAATTTTCTCCGACTTGGAATAAAATACAAAAGATTTAAATAACACATTACAGAGAAGATAAAATCGTATTATTAGATAAAACGAGGTGTTTTCCGTGCTCTGAATTGTATGAAAAGCTTTAATTCAAATGTATTAACTATATTTCTTTACTTAATTTTGTATTTTTCAAAAATATATTTTTTGATCAGTTACGCCATATATGGCTTAAAAAAACGCTACATAATTGCATGACACTTATCATTGAGCTGATTGGGTGAATGTATATAATTTAATAATAAGATATCTGTGAAGCATATATGTACACGCAAATATTGCTATATCAAACAAAGGAAAGGGGTGAATTCAAATTAGGAAATAAAAGATCGTTTTTAAGTAAATCAGTCTTGTAGTACTGCAAAATGGATGCAGTTGTGGAGATTTATGGATAATATGAGCATGTTGTCTGGAATATTTCCACATTAGGGAATTGAATAGCAAAAAAGAGTGAAAATACCGGTTGTGCTTTTCATGTATTACATGTGTATTTCAAAATTCCTAATAGCCCAAGGGGATTCCTCGGTGCAGAAAACCAATAGCCCCATCCTCAAAAATGGAAGCCCTGGGTGTAGCGCGATGCTAATTACACACCCATCATGTGAAATAGTTATAGTAGCCCTATATTAATTTCAGTATTGTTTTAAATTAATTAAAACAAATGACAAAAACAATAATTTAAAAAAAAATCAAAATAAAGCAGACAGTCAAAATCAAAGACAGAAAGAAGCACTGTTTTGACTGAAAGTTTTTCAGTAATACAATGAATCTCTTAAGTTACATATCAGATGAGATAAACTTACATACAATTATTTAGTTGTTGTCAATTATCCCATTTATCATTATCTCAGCTCACTTTGCGATTGTAATACTGTCTACATGAACCGATAATTTACAGCTGATTTATGAACACACGATTGTTAAAATTTTCATTTCCCTTTTCAATATACATTGTCAGAACATACTTAGTTGGTTATGATATAAAATTAAATAATAAACACTTTCGATTTATTAAAGATTATCTAACAATACACGATGATTTACTAAATACTTCTCGCCCTCAAGAGAGTTAAAAAGACAGAGAAAATTCAAAATACAAACAAGTGCAACTTAGGATTAATTGTTCCGATATATCTATTTTAATTTTGTGCACAATTGTTTTCAAAATTACATAAAAATCTTTTTTCCTTAAACAAGAACCCAGCAATGGATAAATATTAATCGAATAAACTTACCTTTTCTCTTGTCAATCAGAAAATATTGTTGACATTAAGTGTTTCTTAGTCGCCATATTTTTTTTCCATGAAAACAAACGTTGTTATGATCAGGACCAACGGAAGTTGATTTTCGGAACTCTCGAGAATTTAGAGTTCCGAATGTAAAACTGAAACAACAAAACACGGTGCGTCCGTGAAAGCAACATTTTTGGACACTTTTTTGGACAAATCGTCGTGTCCAAGTTTTGTTGGGTACTAACCTGCAAATACCCAATTAGGATGTTTTAAGCATATTCAGCGACATTTCTTATTGGGTATACCCAATAAGCAAAAAGTACCCAATAAGTACAATCTTGGCATGAAAAATACCCAATAAATGCACTCTCGTAAACACAGACAGACAGACGGACGGACGGATGGACGGACAGGGCAAAAACTATATACCCCGAATTTTACGGCATAAAAAATGCTTTACTCTATCATGTACAAATGGCCAAAAGAACAGAAAATTCAAAAAACAAATAATTTCGTAGCATATAAATCCAACAATAAACTTATTTAAGTTATTTGTTCAGGAGATTTAAGTTATAACAGTTTACCAAAAACATTTATACCGAGTTCATTTAATCAATGTTAATTGAGATATTTCTATCTCTTTACGCGTAAGTCATTTAAATTTCAGATGCAAAATTGTTTATAAACATTTAATTAATATTTTGTTTCACTAAAAATATTTACAAGGACTATAATAGAAAGATAACTCTTGTTGATGGATGCGTATTATTTTACAAGCACAGAAAACAATTTGATGTTCTGTTTTTTAAAAACCAACGCTTCAGTATGTTTTCTAATGAGAATTAGATATGTATGAAAGTAAATAATTTTTTATATATACCTCATATTTCTAATTCTAGTGTGAGAAAAAAAAATTGATTTTTCTATTTACCATATCAAATTTTCTTCACATCATGATTTGAAGTATTATTCATTTCTGAAAAAGTAAGCAGCGCTCCATACTTCAAACTTTTTTCCATTTGAATTTTATGCAATTTTTGTTGATGAAAATCAATGTTTAGAATAAAAAAAAATGGTGAAATTTGGAGCAGAGGGATATTTCACCTTAATTTAATCAATTAAAAATTCATCAAACCATTACCTGTCGTTTAGAAGGTTTCCATTATCTTTCGGATTTTGCTAGATCATCCTCGTTTGTGTATTCAGTTCATCTGTTATCTATATATTATCTTCGTTTTATGTATTCAGCTCATTTTTTATCTGTTTCATCTGTCTATGCATGCATCGTGCTCAAATCCAATTGCAGGTTTATCAATCTACATGTAACCCAATTTATTACATATATTGCATCACATAAAATAGACAAACAATGCACCTTGGTATGTTAACGTTATCATTACCATCAAACGATTAAAGGTATAATTTGAAATAAATTTAAGTGTACTTAATAAGTTTAACAGCTATCAATAAACATCATCTGTGGATGCTAAGGTATAAAATATTTGAAAGTGGATTTGTTCTTTGTCTTTGAAGAGCTAGATATTAGACAGAAAATCATGGCATCTCGCTTGTCATTGGTTTGATTGATAGTTGGTCCTCGTCGCATATGGTCATTAAAACAACCAAATATGAATCCGATATGGTGGATTTTGTAATATTTTTTTGTTTCGAGTTCATAGACACATGGCAGGAAATACTTATTTTTAATTGACATTATCTGAATGCAGAGCTGATGATCATATACAAAAGTTTTTTTTTAATTCTCCTGTAGAAGTTTTTAAAAATATTTATATTCTGAATAAATCCTGCTTCATTTGAATTAAAACCGAAGTGTCCTAATAAAACCATATAAGTGACCATCAAATTTCCAACACTCTGTTGGTAAAGTTTACCTTTGGCTTTGTTACATGTACCATGGAGTATTTCAGGCTTAAGTCAAACTCCTTTTGTTGTTCTTAAAAATTGCAAAAGTCATTTGCAAGAACATCAAAATTATCGATTGATGATATGTTGTTTTAACGTCCCTCTCGAGAAATTTACACTCATATGGAGACGCCACCACTTGCCAGTGTAGAGCTGCAAAATCTGTTCTACACTCGGTTCTCAGGGCCATTGAGCAGGGAGGGATCTTTTTCGTGCCAGCAATTACGGCGACAAGGGACCTCGGTTTATACGGTCTCATCCGAATGACCGGTCTTCACGTCCCAGAGTAGGATTCGAACCCGCGACGTTAGGATTAATTCCTTACCTCGCGACTCAAGAGCAGACGCTCTAACCACTGAGCCACGTGTCGACAAAATCACAATTAATGTTTCTAAATTTTGTTCTATTTTATAAATAATTTTCAGCACATTTTGAAGATAAATTAAATAAATAAATATTTACAGGTGATTAAAAATTGACCTACGTCTAAATATGTTTCGAGATGTTTGAGCCAGGGTACCAAAGTCTAAGATGCTGAGGAGTCTAAAAGATGAACCATAACATCTCTTGAAAATAAACTGCGAAGTATTAATGTGTGTTTAGAAGCAGCATATTTTTTTTTCTAAAAATGTAGTTGTCTTCATTATTCATAAGATATGAAAATTTCACCCTAACCTTATTAGTCCCTTACCAGTGAAATTGGAGGGGACTTTCTCTGAGTCTATCCGTCTACTTGTCTGTCTAGCTATCCATCCGTCTTTAGCTAGCTGTCCCTATGTCCCTTTGTCAGCATGTCCCATTTGGTTATCCAATTTTTCCCCTGAAAGCTAACATATTTTGTTATATATATTGAGAGAAATGATGTTAACAATTGAAATACATGTAGTTGATTACTCTTCTAACAGGTCTTTAAAATTACTACATTTAAATAATTAACTAAATAAATAAAATATATACAGGATCTCACATGCTTTGTGGTTGAGTATAAAAAAAAATAATTATCGAAGGGTTTGGAGATAAAATACACATTTCCTTGGATAGAAAATCGTATGCAACCACAAAGGAGAATTCTTTTCATCACACATATAAAACATAGCTATTTCATGTTTTACACTGTTTTAGATAATCCACAAAATTTGAAGTAATCAAATTTATGCAAAAAACTGTGATGCCACAACCGTGGATACGACAATATTATCATATGAGCTATTTCTATTGTAAAAAGGATAAATATGAAATAGTATATCCTTCGCTTTATTTAAACTTTAAAAAAGGTTAATAGGTTATTAAAGAAAATTGACAATCAGAAAAACAAAACAAACCTCAGATTTTTTCCCGAACTACTTTAGCCAGATCCATCTCTCAAAATACACTGAAAGCTTAAGATAAAATATATAATGATTGTATGTATCAATACGGACTTTGTATCTGTGATCATACCTTCCATACACGTATGCTTTAATCAAACAGCAGTTTTATCAAACTACTTGTTTAGCTAATAGTTAGTCCCAGGTATTGCGTACCTTTAAAAGATAATTTTATTCACTTCGGTATCATCACAATCATGTTGTAAATTTTGAATTTACTAGGGGGAGGTAAATGCAAAATTTACAACATGATAACGTTATCATGTTGTAAATTTTGCATTTACCTCCCCCTAGTAAATTCAAAATTTACAACATGATATTGGCATGAATTGAAGTTATTGTTAATTTTATTTTAAAAATAATTACCTTTATTCAAATAAAAAAAAAAGACCGCAACATTTCACTTCAAATTGGTGAGCACTTGGCGAAGAAAAAAAACCTCTTGGTATTCTTTTTTTATTCATATTCGTCGCGGTCTGTGCTTTTACTTACGAACATCCAATCAAGGAGTGAGAACCTAAACTTCTGAGCTTCTGTGATAGTTCAGATTTAATAAGAAACGTAACAGAGAAATAATTTTTTAAACCAATGAAAAGAAGAAAGAAATCAACGCATGCACCATTATTATTTGAAGGTAATGAGAAAGACAGAAAAATCATATTTGTTAATGTTATTAAAATGAATTTGTTATTTTTTTTACATGGAAATATGGAGAACACAAGGTCAAAAATCCAATGAAACAATTAAGAAATCAATTTAATTTTTAAAGATTCATGAGGTTATGAACTACGACGCTTCACGCCGGCATATTTCATGAAGAGTATTAGCGCTTCATGATGAATATACCGGCGTGAAGCGTTGTAGTTCATATACCTCATGAATCTTCAAAATTTAAATTCATTTCTTATATTTACATTATATTTCTGATAACTTGCCATAAATTTACGCCATTCAACTGTCATTTTTAAAGCAAAACAGTGTGCACTATATTTTTTGACGTTAAGTGCGGTATTATGACGAAACAATGGACATATTTATGCTTATTCGTGGTACATATGTAATTCATGAGAAAATGAACTGCATTTTATTTTGTAAAGAATCATAGGGGAAATTTATTGGAAGTGTAAATATTTACATATGAACGGACACAGCAAGTTTTACTTCCTATAATGATGATATTGATAGCTACATAGTACAACAGTAGCAAATTAGCCTTACTAATTCGATTCTTTAAATTTTCTTATACGTATATAAAAAGCCATCCAGTCAAATCACAACAAATATAATATTATCATTTTACTAACAGCGTGACAGTTCGCTTGATGCGGCGTGCTAAAATTTTGTGTGCTGCATGATTTTCATTTTAACCATCGATTGGATGCTTTATTTCACTGAATCAATAGTAATTTGCATATGAAACTCAGAATACAACAATATCCAGATAATACTGGCCAATCACTTTGAATGATTGTTTACCAGTGCGGCATCTGTACTCACCAGCAACACGTGGTCAGTCAAAGCCCGTTCTCTGTCCTCAAAAAAGCATGTATTATATTTGTTGTGATTTGACTGGATGGTTTAATATACGTATAAGAAAATTCAAAGAATGGAATTAGCAATTTTTAGTAGGCTAATTTTCTACTGTTGTACTATGTAGCTATCAATATCACCATTATAGGAAGTAAAACTTGCTTTGTCCGTTCACATGTATTTGTTGTTTATTCACTGTGATTGGTCAGTATTGTCAGTGGTATTGCTGGGTTCTGTG